CTTCCCTGGGAGGTCCCCTCACCACGTACAGGAATCCACGTCGAGGGGCTTAAATGTTTGAAGACATAGTCAAAATGAAAAACATTCTAAACAGACTGACAGGATATAGATTTAAGACCATTAACACAATGTTGACTAATTTGAATCTCCTACAGCTTTTTAACTTTTTTTCTCATCTCAAAAGCCCAATTCAAACCTGTAACTTTTGCAATTTTACAAAAAAAAACATAACTACCACAATAAAGACTTACTGCTATCACAAGTTAATAATAAAGTCTGTCTACGCTAAAAAAAAATAAAATAATAAACAGAATGTACAAAATTTTATTTTGCATGCAAGTTAAATTACATTAATACTCATGTAAAAAATTTAATTTCCTAACAGCAGGGACAAAAACAAACACAACTGTAAAGTGAATGAGAAACTAAAAATATCTAATAAATTAACTATTAGCTATGAAACTCAGAAAGCCATGAAAAGAAAACAAGAAGCAGAGGCCAATATTGTTCTTGAAATCCTCTTAGAAAGTACATGAGGATGATTACATGGTAAATATACACATGCAGTATATCAGTATCCTTTAATGAATTCAGGAAGACCAACACTATACAATTTAATGTTCTCAAAGTCCATTCAAACATGGTAAATGTTCAACAACCTTCCCACTATTAAAAGATTAGCTTCTAAATTTAGCCCACTTTATTCCAGTATTTTTTCATAAATACATTTGTCATCCATGAAGAGGCAAGCATAAAGAAACAATGCAAGTGGACTTCAAATGTCACAATTTAACCTTTATTATACAAAATATGCTTTATAACCATTACAAGTTTTTGGAGTTTATTGGTCCCCAAACATCTGCTTTCCAAACATTTAACACAAGAGTAACAAGGCTGCATCAGTTAAGAATGCAGATTTCATGACATTAAGCTTTACTTTCTTAGCCTTACCTGAAACATTTGTACTGCAAAGAAAATACATGTATAATGATAATAGGAAATATAACACTAAAAATATTCATTGACACTGAGAAAACTCAACTATTAATATGAATTCAGTATATAAGGGTTTTTTTCCTACTCTTTTTTACACAAATACACAAGGTCCTCCCCCAGCAAGGATAAAGGGACAGTACCTTTTATCAAGGGGTTCTGGGGAAAAAAAATCACCCTAACTAAAACTGAATTTTAAGACTTTTCAGAACAGTTAAACCTTGTCCTTCGAGCAACACAAAAGTTTAAAAAACTTGTTTCAAAATGAATTCACATTATTCTTTTATATATATATATAAAACAAAATGGTCACATACACTAGTTAAATATCACTCTTTGCATTTATATGCCGTATCCAAGAAATTTAAAAATAAAATAACATACAAAAATATTATGGTACCGTATTACATTTTCTAGCCTAAAAGGTTACTTCTTTTAATACATGTGCCTAAGAGTTATTAGAATTGACAATAGATCATAGAAAATAAAAGTACTATAACATTAGTATAAATCATATAATTTTCTGTAATGGGATTTGCACACTTATGAGCATCATAATATTTCTGACACTTACAGTTACAGCTGCTCGACCAAACCGCATCAACCCAATTGTTGAAACTTCCCATTTGTTGTTCTTAACTGTAGCTACAGCTCCTCCAACAGCTCCAGCTACCACTGCTAATCTCAATGACAAGCGTAACATTTCGAAATATTACATTCATCAGTTCTCCAATGTAAAAGTATTTCAAAAGTTCACATTCTGAAATAAGACACATAATGAACACAGGAGATTACTTTGAAAAATATAAGTTTTACCTCTAAGATGAATATAATTATATCTTTAGATAACATTATACAAAAATACTATTTACTGTTGTACAATAATTTATGGGACCTCTATACTACATCAAACTTGCATAGAAAATCTTTATAAGAAATTAAGTATCAGATAGTACTTTAAAATTTCAAATCACCCTCCCCTACACATACACACCATAAAAAAAGCATACACAAGTTAAATATCACTCTTTGCATTTATATGCTTTGTCCAAGAAAATTAAAAATAATTTAAGCTTACAGAACCTCACATAACATCAAGCAAACTACCGAGCAAGTATATAATTTCACCAAAATGTAGATTTCCAAAGTTCAATATCATTATTATTTAAAGTAGAAGGGTACATTTCAAAAGCAGTAAGGGGTGTATGAAGGTCTTCCCCAGCAAGGGAAAAAAATACAGTACCCTTTATCAAGGGGTTCTGGGGAAAAAAATCACCCTAACCAAAACTGAATTTTAAGACTTTTTCAGGACAGCTAAACCTTGTCTTTTGAGCAATATGAAAGTTTAAAAAACTTGTTTCAAAATGAATTCACATGATTCTTTTCTATGTTTCTAATATATATGATACAAGAACGTAAAACAAAATAATCACATGAAAAACTACGTAGTATGTTTAGATTGTCAATGGAAAATTTTGGCATAGTTTTCTTTGGATCATGAGCTCATTACATCATCCTCTTGAACAAGGCCCTCCCCCTAATAGTTGGATAAGACAAAAAAGTTTAACATAACAAGCTTGGTTCAATTTCATTTATTGTAATGAAATCTTTCTTGTTCCATGCAGGATATAATATAATAAATGTGTACAAATTCTTATTTAAAACAAAACAATTCTTCTGCTGTTGTAGAATGTCCATTCATCATACAAAACGATTGGTCAATCATGGAAAACCTGCATTTTTTTTAAATTCAAAGGGCATTCAAGTATATGATTTTTGTCAGAAACATTTTTTTCTTATTTTATAGAGATACACTACATTTTGTTATCTTGGTATTAGAAGATTCAGGTAAAAAAATATGAAATTCTCTTCATAATTTCACATCTGTTCAATCATCAGACGTAATACAGATGAAATTTTAAAAGCTGGTTTCTAAATTGAAAATGTAACAGAACATTTTGTTCCTTCACAAGAAGCACTTGATATTTTGATAATTTACATCAAATATTTCAGAAAATGAATGAAAACCCTGCAAATTCACTTTCAAATATTTTTTTTAAATCTTGTCACAGAAAAAACTTGCACAAAAGATTGTCTAAAATCAATTCCACAATCTAGATTAACTGTAAAACACTAGAGGAGGAGTAAATAAATTGATCGATATTAGTGGGTTAAAAGTAGCACCTGGAGAAACTGATACTAGGTATTGATTTATGTCACAAATGAGTCATTATTATTGCATTTAAATGCAAATTAGTGATGAAGTTATTAATTGTATAAATGTAGCAGTTGCTTCATGATGTTGAACTTTACATTTTCAATCTTTCCATTTCACTACTCAAGCTCCTATGTGTGTGTGTGTGTGTGTGTGTGTGTGAGTGTATATATATATATATTCCAAATTTTAAATTTTTTTTCATACCTTAAATACTAAAAAGTAAGGTAACTTAATAGTATTATATCAGCACTACTAACGATATTTATCTATTAAGTATTAAGGAACCAAAAATACACATAGTAATTTAAGTGAGGCACCATCAACCTTATACAAAGGTAATATAATGTTCTCCCTTTAAAATTTAAAATCACAGTAAATAATACTTGGAACTTTACCAATGCTTAGTAACCAGTAAAAGGCAGTCAGGTTTTATCAATAATAACATCAAAACACTTCTAATAATTAAATTAGTTTTTCATATTTTTTTACCCTCAAATTGATTAGGGGAAGTACAATGATTGGATGGCTCTTGGTCAGTTGCAGTAAACATAACCTAAAATGCCAGTTTGCCTCAGAAGTAACTTTCATTTGAAGTTGTGATTTGTTTCTAATAAAGATGGTGAAGGAGATCCAGCAGGGCAGATTGGGAAGGAGTAATAAACACAGGAAATGAAAAAAGAATGTCCAAGTCATCTCCCTCAGGAACAGATTGTCCAGAAAATGGGAGATTGCATTGCAGCTCAGGAGACATTGAAGGTTGCATGTAAGAATAATTCATAATGCACGAAGGTTGAAACCTTCCCCACCAAAAGTGTGGAACTCAAAGCCACAGTAGTATTAAGTGTGGTTGGATCAGTTGTGGCAGGATCCAAACTAGAAGCAATACCTGTTACATGAAATTGAGGGTTCATCATATAGAAAAGAAAAGGAAAACTTTCCAGAAAAAATTTTTTTTAATATAAACAACAATAAACATAAAATAATCAAAATGTAGCAAAAACTTAAAGTGAAAATGAAAACATGAAGTACCAAGCAAAAATTTAGCATGACTGCACTAATAAATGCCAAATCAAGAAGCGAAGAGTATGATCTACAGTATATAGAGAGAGAGAGTCAGCTGTGCTAGGAGGGTGTGTCACATTCCTATTGATGGAGGGTTGTTGCATGCTCATGTGAATGCTACAGCACAACTATACCATGTGTGAACATGCAAGGGTAAGTGGGAACATCAAGGCTGGTGGTAAGTGAAAACTTCATGCATAAAGAGCAACACAAATCAAAAAAGCCATTATTTGAGTGGAGGTAAGGTATCATATAAGAATCTCTTGTCAACATTAGTCCTGTTGACAAGAAACTGTGAATAAATTAACACATGCTCTGCATTGTGTCAAGTATATTCAGAACACTGAATCACATGGTTGTTGACAGTACAAGAGCAACTCAACATGGAAAGATCTGAATCACATCAATATGGGTTGGAGAAAGACTATTTAAACAGACTGTAGGATGGTTCAATGAGAAAAAGCAAAAGGGCCAGCATGCCCATTCACATACATTTGTGTGTGCAATATACAGATTTAGGTCAAGACATACAAAAGTGAACAGGCTTGTGTCTTTCTCAACTAGCAAATCTATTATTAAAAACTAAAATAAAGAGGAACATTATTTTAGCCATGTTCCTCTGCTTTAAAATAACATTCCTGTTATTTTGGATGAATAATATTATCACTGACTCACTTTTCGCAGTACCAGTATTACCAAAAATACAACTTGGTTGTGTAATATCCCTTTATAACTAATCAAGATGTTAGGAAACATACTCTTTAAGTGAGAATCTGAAACCAGAGCCCTCCTCTAACATACACTTTCCAAGATAAATGTGCCAACTGAGTGAACAGAATAAAATTCCAAATACAGTTATACCCCATTTAACACTCAGGAAGGGTTCCTGAGAAGAGCTCTAAACAGAGTAATTTTAACATTATATCTATATATATAGGGATATGTAACTGAAGGCATTGTTTCTTATCTGTGAATGATGTACAAGTGTTTATTTAGGTACTGATAAACACAGATTGTTACAGTAAAGTATTATATATTAAAGTAAATGAACACAAAAAGTCTTAAAAACAAAGAAACACATCCAATTGACATGGATTCATGAACTGGAGCTGACCCCAAGGTGTAAGGCAGTAGGTAGGCAAGGCAGCAGCTACATGAGACAGTGGACATCATTTGGCTCTTTATAATGAAAAACTTAAGCACTGCAATACTTAAGAAAATCCTGAATTTCCCCTAATGTGAGAATTGTGAAATTGTTTCTCTAAGCATCTCTTCTTTTCTATTTTATTCACAAACCCTCCAATAAGTAAGAAATTTAACAAAAATTACACTATAATATCGTCATTGCTGGTAAAAAACAAATTTTTTATTAGCCTTCAATCTTGTTTTGTTACAGTGCCATCAAATAGGAAATCAGACCCCTCCTATTATGCCCACCTGTCAAATCATCTCTTTCAGGATTTGTCAATAGATGTAGTTCTCTCTTATATTTGTTTTTAGTATATCATTTGTTCTATGTTCTTTGTTGCATTATTTAATTAAATAAAAGTTATTTAGTGCACTTCTACCATTAGTATGAAAAAGTACTGTTCAGAGAATTATGGATTTTCAATTTTTTTTCTCTCTCGTGAAAAACAAATTTATCAAGGAGACAAGAGCTCTATAATGAATCAACTTAAAGTGGGGTGGCACTAAGCAGGGTCTTACTGTACTTATAAATTAGTGAAACATAGATGCAATTCCCAAAATGATTCACAGGTGTAAAAATGTATGTACTACCCCAACTTTTTTTCACCATAATGATTAAATTATCCAGTCTACATATAATGGATGTCTGCCTTAATCAAGTATGACAGCCAAATATTTCCATTTCCAATAATTTTAGCTCATTTAGACTGGTTACTGTAGTTTTCTCTAAGCTCTTTTGTCTTAAGCCTCTTGAATTTGTTTCAATTCAAATGCAGTGGAAGATGTATATGTTAATTATCACCAGTATACGTACTATCCTGTGCCTTTTGCTCCCACTTGAAGCATGTACCCCACATTTCTTTAAGACTGGTCTTTAGACCATCTTTATAGCATTTACTCTGACCCCCTAAGCAAGAGAAATGTAGTAGTCCAACTTTTTTTCACCATAATGACTAATTTATCCAGTCTACATAAATAACAATACAGCATTCCAAAATTCAGAACATCTAATCTTTTTTCATCATATATGGGAAAAATGCTGTAGTTTTGACTAAACAGTCTGAGTCATTATGTTCAAGTATAGCTATTTCATTTTGTATCAATTAAATTGTGCATTAAAAAGTAACTATTCTAATCCCAGCAAAAAATAATTATGTAGATTAGGTAGTGTTAAAAGTATAATATTAAATAATTGAACATTTAAACTTACAAGTTGACAATTGAATAATACATGCTTATATACCAGGCTTATAATTAATTACTCTATCATTAATAAACAGTTTAATGATCTT